CAGAAAGTCTTTGTTAGTTTATACTGCCTTTGGGACTGTCTCATTTTAGTATCTGTGTAGAATATAATTTTTTAAAATATCCAGTTTTGTTCACCATGTAAGAACTTATTCATTATGTAAGAATTCGTTCACCATGTAAGAACTTGTGCGTTATGCTTCAGAAGATTGGAGACTGACGAGAATTAGGCTTGAGATGGATTAATGATTGTGCATTGAGCATTGACTCCCCTTTACAGAATTTTATTGTTGTTAACAACCATTTGATCAACAAATATGAGAGATGCCCTCTCAAAAAAAAAAAATCCAGTTTTATGGATAAAGATGGGAATTCGTTTCAAAGTGCATTTATATGAGTCCTTGTGAGGCTGATGTTTTACTTATTGGATGGTTTTGTCATCATTTCTGATATACTTATTTATGGTTTATAGTCAGATTTCTTTTGAAGTATTGATGTTTTCTTACTTGTAAGAGTTCTTTCTTATTCTACTGTCAGTTATTGTAAATATGTTCTCAGTGTATATTTTGCCTTTAATCTTCTAATTTTCTTTATGGCAGATGTTAATTTTATATAGAGCTTAGTATTTTGTTTGTCTTTTTCTTCTTGATTTCTTTTTCTCTGATTTCTTTTTTACTCTGTGATCAATAATATAGTCCCCCTACTGTCTCATTAAATGCTTAACGTACTTGGCAATCAGGAGGTTTTATAATTATTAGTACAGTATTATTGTACTGACCTTGTTCACTTGAAATTTATGTTTGTAATAGTATAAAGACTTAACTTGAATCCTAAACATTAAGTCCTAGATAGACGTTAGCCAATTTTTCTATTGAATAACAGAATATTAAATTCTAATTTGTTCATGATATAGATTACTGTAAGTGTTAGGGTCTCTTTCAGGTCTAATTTTTCCCCTGATTTAACTGTCCAGTTCTTGTGCCAGTTTAAATAAAATCATTCTTGCTTTATAGTATGTTCTTTATCATTTTCAATATTTTCTTAGCTACTAATACCTTTTCCTCCATATTAACTTTGTAATCATCTTGTGATTTCCATCCACACACATTCTAGAAGCTGTAAAAAATATTCATTAAGATTTGATTGGGCTTACACTGACCCTATAACAGTTTTTTCCCTAGAGTATATAGAAAATGCAGATGAATAAAACATGTAAATTAGTAATGTCCATTTTTAAAGTCGATATTCTTACCAAAAAATGGTATCTCCTTTGTTAGAATTTTATACTGCTAGTAAAAATTTAGCTTTCTCCGTTGAATTCTTTCTTGTGATTGTTCCTTTTAAAACAATGCTTTTGTGAATTAATTTTTTTCTATATGTATCATATAATGGGTTATAATGTGTAAGACTCTTGTGTTAGTATTTAAATCTTGGTTTTGACTTTCAGAGTTTTAATTCTTTGAGTCAGTTCATCTGTTGAGTGTTATAAGTGAAAACATCTATTTTCCTCTTTTCTCTATATTCAGTCCAAGAATCATTGAGGTTGTTCTCAAAACAAAACAAAAAAGGAAATCTTTTTTAAATGAACTTTGACATGGAATCCCTTTATATAAAACAAAAGTTCACTAGCTATTAAACTGAGGGAGGGCTTTAGAACACCACTCTCCTGATTTTACTAATTACTGCTGAGACGTGTGAGGAAATTAGTTTGAAAACTTTTCTTATATCATAAAACAATGTCTAATTACGAGCTTAGTGAGAATTCTTATTTCTGGCTTAAATTTTGTCAGGTAATTAAGTATGTTTCTGGCTATGGTTTACGGTAATTTCTAGTTTTAATTTTCTAACAGTATTTAAAATCACAGGTGGGAATGGAGTTTTATTAAATTTCTGTTAAGAAATTTATTGTGGTGGTTATGTGGTTTTATTAACTTGTTTCAAATTTTTAGTATATTAGAAAAATCTCAGTGCCGTCAGAATTTCATGTTAATTCTGTTGTCTGTATTCTGTGTTTTTAATAGCATTTTAGTTATGACAAGCTAGCAACCCTCATTAGTTTTGTCATATTGTATAAGTTAGTATCTTTGAAGCATTTAATTAAAAACTCAAAGCATGAGTTAAAGATTTTGCATGTACTGTTACAGCTTTCTGTTACTTAATATTTTTATGATGTTGTTGATCTCTTCATTGATTTCAGTGTTTAGGATACTGTCTAAAGTGAGATTCAAATTTACAATCTTTAGGATTTAGCTGAAAGTTGAAATAATTAGGTTAATAGACTGTGGCAATTCCAGTTGTCTTTTCACTCAGAAATTTTGCTGTGTTGAAAGGAGAGAAACAATTCCTGTAGATACAGAAACATTTTTCTTCCCCTTTTGGCAAATTGGATCATGAAAGTACTAAGATTTACATAGTTTTATGTCAGGGGTAGAGGAGGAGTGTGAGTGTGTGTGTGTGTTGATAAGTGTGTATGACAGTTTTCTTCTGAAACACAGAATGGCCCTTTTTAGTATTTAATATACTTTACCTGTCTTCAGAGAGTAATATTTAAGTGAAACACTGGTATTTTTTGAGGTTATTAGAAATGTATGTACAATACTTTTGTTTGTTTTTTAAGTCTATGCTAATTTACTAGTCAAATTTTGTAGTTAAGCCCTAAAATCTGGGGGTGGGGAGGGGACTCTAAAACGTGAATCAGCTGGATAAAAGGAGTTAACCACCTCATCACAAAACAGTAGGTGACTAACCAGGGGGTGGAGTGGGTAAGTGCAGTGCTACTTTTGTCTATTACAAATTATCCCATTGTGCTTCAAAAGAAGCACCTTTTGTAATTTCTAAGTGCCACCTCTGTTGTTTACAGATGTGTCTCAGTGCCCAGAGCAACAAGAGATAAGCAGTTAATGCTTGTGCTTTTCTAATGCCACCAGATATCCACAACTGAAAAGGAGAAGAAAAAATAACTGAGGACCACATTTCTCTCCTTTCCTTTCTCTTTATTTGCACTTCAGTGTGTAAAAAGGGTTATGAAGCCTGGAGGCCGTGGCAAAAGACGAAGAATAAGCAGAGAGTAGGATGTAGAGAACAGTCCATTTTTGCTTAGCTTTTTAGACCTTATAGCAGATGTAACGTGAAATATATGTATGTGTATATAGTGGACTGCCATAATGGTTAAGAGCATGGTCTTTGAAATGGAGTTCTGCTGCTCTACTGGCTTAGGGGGTCATTGAGATCTGTATGTAAAGTGCTTTAGCAAAGTATAGCACACAGTTTATCCTCAGTCAGTAAATAGTTCTTGCTGCTGCTGTTAGTATTGTTCCTTCAGGGGGTTTTGGTAAAAGATATTAATATTCCAGTTGAGATTATATGTGATCTACCAAACTCAGTGCTGTCATTTAAAATATTTTCATGTATAATAAAAATTACGTAGTACTGGGAATGAATAAGGTACAATTTACTACTTCGTGACATATTTAAATATCTATTTTTAAATATAATATAAAAGTTCATATTTTGCTGAACAAATCAGCTTGCATATTGTTGTGTGGAAAGTAAAAAATAAATAGTAGTAGAATACTCATTTTTAAAATAAGGATTTCAGCCAGTACTAAGAAACTTACTTGATTCAGTGTTCTTTGGGAATTCCGAATGTCATTAGATAACCATCAGTTTTCAATAGAGTACTGGCTGAGATATAAAGATGATCTTAAATTGATACCTGAGATAGGAGGAATTTTGTTGTGTTAAGAATTTTGTTTTCCATAAGTCCACATATTAAACTTGAATTTTTCCAGAAGGAAATACGGTCTTTAAAGATCCTGCACTATAAACATAATTTGGACAGTAGCACTTAGGTTGTGTTTCTGTGTCCATACCTGTGCATGTACACATGCATATATGCATACTTTTTTTTATTTTTCAAACTTCTGAAGTACAAATGAGAGAATTACTTTACATCGAGGGAAGGACTCCTTTTATCTTTCATCAAATTTATCTAACTTGGTAATATTGTCTTAATGTGTGACTTTTACATACTAATTTTGGTATTTAGTAATTTTAGTTGTTTTGTCATCTCATATAATAAATTAAGTGAGAAACAGACTTAACCAAGAGCAAGGTGTGTTATATGGCTTAGCTTTCAGCATTTCTCTATGTAGAATAGACTATTTAGACTAATGAATTGAAAATGAGATAAATTGAGTATAAATAGGACTCAAGATATTAAATAATAAGTACTTAAAATAGTTTCCGAGATTCTGAACTTTAACAAATGTTATAATTATGTTTTGTTGCAATATCTCTTCAGAACAGAATCAGGGTAAAAATGATTAAGAGTTAGGATAAGTAACATTCTGACTAAATTAAGATTGATCAAATTACATACTTGTATGAAATAAAAACACTGTTTTAAAGTTAGTGGGTTATTAGTATATCTTTCTAGATTTTAAAATTTGTAATGGAGCCAAACAAAATTATGGTGGAAAATATTTGTACTATAACACTCAGTAAAGGTTTTTATTTACCCTTTTTTATTAAAAACTTGATAAAAGTATATTGTATACATTGTTCATCCCAGAATCAAGTGTTCATCAAACATTTGTAGTTTTCCCCATCCCTCCCAGAAAGGTTTTAAATTGGTGATGCAGAATATTTGTCATCTACCAAATTAAAAGCCGTAGGTTTGTAAACTTGGCACTCAGAGAAAGAAGTAAGTGCCATAAAATGATTTAAGTATTGGAGTGTGTACACCTGCTGTCAGGAAATAACCTTCCCATATGTTGCAGTTTGGCAGACATGCATCTTAAAAAATGTGTTGAATGAAACTGCTGCTGCATTGTATCTTTTTTCAACATTACATTCATTCTCTTTGTGCCTGTAAGTAATCACTTTTGCTTCACTTAGAGGAACATGATAAATTTTTACAGATATGCTTGTAGTTAAGTAGTGGTACTCTTTTAAAAGGTACAGTAACTGATGTAATTGACTAATTCATTGAAATACTGGCTTGGCCCTTAACACCAACAAAGAAACAAACTATCTATTTTGAACATTTACTTTTTTTTTTTAAATAAAAACTTAAGCCTGAGAGACATCGATTTTTCACATTTTATCACATCTTGTCAAAATAGTTCCCCCGTATATGTACTAAAAGAAAATTAGTATCTCGATTGTTTTTAAAAAGTAAGTACTTCAACAAGTAGTGGTGGTGACTCTATAGCATCTTCCTATGCTGATGGGCAGTGACTGTAGTGGGGTATGTGCTGGGGACTTGATAATAGGGGGAGTCTAGTAAACACAATGTTGCTCAAGTGATTGTATATTAACGATACCAAAAAAAATACTTCAGTGAGAACTGCATTGATGAAACCTTTGAATTTTATAAATGTGTTTTTGGGATACCTCAACTAAATCTTATTGCATGAATACAGTTTTAAGAACTCTAAAATAATCAGGTCGGAATTTGTCCTTGCACAATTACAAAGGTTCCTTAAAATTGACAGTAATGTTTTATTTACATTTAATTATATAATGAAATGAAAAACTGCATCTAAAATCAAGGTTCTTTTTACTCTCTCCATTTCTTAAATTAAAATGTACATGAAAAGTAATATGCAAATACATCTTACTGGCCTCCTAGCATAAGACTTGAACCATTGATGTATGCATGCTTATTTTTGCATGTAATACACAGAATCCCTTTAAACAGTTTTTTTAAATAGACTCTTTTAGGATATCTTTTTGTTATATATGTTGTAGTTTTAAGAATTACCTTCTTCAGAAATTAAAAATATATCTTTTGAATTCTTTTATGTGGTGAGTTTTAACTAAAACTTGTCCTATGGATGTAATCAATTTTAACTATACATGCTTTTAGCAATATTTTACAGATTGCACATTAAAAAAAGAAAAGGCTGTCTTTTCTAGTGTAGTTTACGGTGACGATACCTGCCTGCCTTTTCTTTTGCTGCATTGGCACAAGCGTTGTGCTTATTTTGTTGTAAATGGTTCCAGTATTTTATCAGCTCACTAGGCTGGAACTGATGAGAGGTAATTAGGTGGCTGTATTTACAGCTTGAATAAGAAACTCTCCAGTGATTGAACACAAACTCATTGGGAGGGGGCACAGGATCAATTCTCAACTTGGCAAGACAGATCCCTACATACACATCTTCCAAGTGCAAACGACGGATACTTAAAGAAACTTTAAATATCTTCTCTGCCAGATCTCCTGAAAAAACATAACCAGTCCCAGAACAGAAGACAGGGTAGCGCTCACTTGGGTAGAGGTCTTGTGGCATGTACCATTTGCTATCTTTGTTTCGATTTGGTGCATATCCTCTCATTAGGTAACCAGTGAAATAGTTATGTCTGGGAGGCAGGTCTGGCTTCAGTAACTTATGTATTAAATATTCAGTATTGACAAACATGTCACTGTCAGTTTTCATAACATATGGAATATGTGGACAGTATGTTGCAACCCAGTTCATGCCCATTAGTGTTTTAATGGTCAAATTATAATATGTATCTAAGTATTCCTGTTGAATAATATCATGATATTGTCTGCTTTCTTCCAGTATTGCACGTTGAAGGTAGCCATTTAACTTAATACTTACACCCAACAAAAAAATTCGTGTGATTTGGATACCAGGTGCTAGACTTTCATTGCCCCACGTTTGCCGAATAGCTCTTCTAGCTTCTATTTGTCCAGGTTCTGCAGCTATTAGTAGTATTAGAAAAGGGCTCTTCTCCTGACATTTTTCAGGTTCGTTGACAATATATTTGAAATGGTAAGAATTTGGGTATCTGGTTCCTTTTTCACTGTAAATACTTCCATTGGCACTAAGTGTATTCTCTAGCCCTGTAACTCCTTGTGGTGACAGGTCTGTATTATTGGAGTTCGTTGCTGTTTGAGGCCTCAGAGTTTGAGGGACTGTTTCTTTCCAAATGTTCCGAAGAGAACTGTGGTTTGTCTCACTTTTTGTAGAATGAAATCCTCGGAATGTGTATGTCACAGGATTGTCTTTGAATGCAGCTCTGCCCGGCAGCCAGTCATGATGGTTGAAAAACAAGAACATAGCAAAAAGAAACACTAGAGAGAGCACACCAATAAGATGGGTGCGGAACAGAGACCTCTTGGCATTCCAGCTCATTTTTGCAAAGCAGCAGTGTCTTCTCCTCCACTGAAGCATGTTGTAGATATCCAGTTATGGGATATGAGATATTGGTGATTGAAAATGTTGCTTTCTTCTAAATCAGTACTGTTCTTTGGTGATCATTTTCTAATTTAGTCACGTTGTCTCCCTTGCAGTCATTCTACAAAGATGAAGAATAAAGTTTACAAAATAATTAATTATTATGCAACTGCCTGAAAGAGAATTTGGGTGCTAATAAAATTGGGGAAAGTAGGAATTTTTATGCTGTGAAAATATAATAACCCAGAAACGAAGTTTATAATTTGTTTCTGTTGGCAACATAACATCACTGACAGCAGAATTAATTTCTTTTGAAATACACCTTTATAGGTCATTGAGCACTTTAAAGAGAGGTGATGGATTAATTTTCTTCCACTTATTCCAATGTTTCAGTAGCTCTGGTTATTTGTACTTTTGACCTAAGTTGAAGATTTAAAAATTGTTTGCTTGTAGAAAAGACAAGATGTTACTAGGTTCTTGAAAGAGGCCATATAAGAAGGCCCAAGAGCAGATGGAAAATTTATTGGCATTAATTAAAATTGATTTGACATACCATTGGTATTAATGGTGCACTGTCTGTCAGTGGCCTTTTTTGTAAAATGGTCATGTATCAGTTGTGGGACAGACGGTGCAAGGTTGATTATGGCAGAGTTCTGTTAGTCACAGTACACTGCTTGGCATGTTTCCATTGGCCCCTACTGTGTTGAGAAAGTCAGTGAGAAGATGCACCTGTCAAAATTAATTCTCAGGGTCCAGTAACTTCAGTGCAGGATTTTAAGAGTAATAAAAATGATGAACATTTTCAAATACTCTTTTCTAATTTTAATCTTATACTTCAAATATGAGGTATTTAGGAGATCACTGTCCTTATTAGATTTAAGATTGATTTTATTATAGCAACTAATTATTTTTAGCCTTGGCAAGAGCACTGTCACATATCTTAGTTGAGTCTTTATGTTAGAATTAAAGAACTACTTTGAACAGTTTTTTCAGATTTCTCACAAAATAAAAAATTGAACAAAGAACCACTTTGAACAGTTTTTTTTTTTTTTTAAATAAAAACTTAAGCCTGAGAGACATCGATTTTTCACATTTTATCACATCTTGTCAAAATAGTTCCCCCGTATATGTACTAAAAGAAAATTAGTATCTCGATTGTTTTTAAAAAGTAAGTACTTCAACAAGTAGTGGTGGTGACTCTATAGCATCTTCCTATGCTGATGGGCAGTGACTGTAGTGGGGTATGTGCTGGGGACTTGATAATAGGGGGAGTCTAGTAAACACAATGTTGCTCAAGTGATTGTATATTAACGATACCAAAAAAAATACTTCAGTGAGAACTGCATTGATGAAACCTTTGAATTTTATAAATGTGTTTTTGGGATACCTCAACTAAATCTTATTGCATGAATACAGTTTTAAGAACTCTAAAATAATCAGGTCGGAATTTGTCCTTGCACAATTACAAAGGTTCCTTAAAATTGACAGTAATGTTTTATTTACATTTAATTATATAATGAAATGAAAAACTGCATCTAAAATCAAGGTTCTTTTTACTCTCTCCATTTCTTAAATTAAAATGTACATGAAAAGTAATATGCAAATACATCTTACTGGCCTCCTAGCATAAGACTTGAACCATTGATGTATGCATGCTTATTTTTGCATGTAATACACAGAATCCCTTTAAACAGTTTTTTTAAATAGACTCTTTTAGGATATCTTTTTGTTATATATGTTGTAGTTTTAAGAATTACCTTCTTCAGAAATTAAAAATATATCTTTTGAATTCTTTTATGTGGTGAGTTTTAACTAAAACTTGTCCTATGGATGTAATCAATTTTAACTATACATGCTTTTAGCAATATTTTACAGATTGCACATTAAAAAAAGAAAAGGCTGTCTTTTCTAGTGTAGTTTACGGTGACGATACCTGCCTGCCTTTTCTTTTGCTGCATTGGCACAAGCGTTGTGCTTATTTTGTTGTAAATGGTTCCAGTATTTTATCAGCTCACTAGGCTGGAACTGATGAGAGGTAATTAGGTGGCTGTATTTACAGCTTGAATAAGAAACTCTCCAGTGATTGAACACAAACTCATTGGGAGGGGGCACAGGATCAATTCTCAACTTGGCAAGACAGATCCCTACATACACATCTTCCAAGTGCAAACGACGGATACTTAAAGAAACTTTAAATATCTTCTCTGCCAGATCTCCTGAAAAAACATAACCAGTCCCAGAACAGAAGACAGGGTAGCGCTCACTTGGGTAGAGGTCTTGTGGCATGTACCATTTGCTATCTTTGTTTCGATTTGGTGCATATCCTCTCATTAGGTAACCAGTGAAATAGTTATGTCTGGGAGGCAGGTCTGGCTTCAGTAACTTATGTATTAAATATTCAGTATTGACAAACATGTCACTGTCAGTTTTCATAACATATGGAATATGTGGACAGTATGTTGCAACCCAGTTCATGCCCATTAGTGTTTTAATGGTCAAATTATAATATGTATCTAAGTATTCCTGTTGAATAATATCATGATATTGTCTGCTTTCTTCCAGTATTGCACGTTGAAGGTAGCCATTTAACTTAATACTTACACCCAACAAAAAAATTCGTGTGATTTGGATACCAGGTGCTAGACTTTCATTGCCCCACGTTTGCCGAATAGCTCTTCTAGCTTCTATTTGTCCAGGTTCTGCAGCTATTAGTAGTATTAGAAAAGGGCTCTTCTCCTGACATTTTTCAGGTTCGTTGACAATATATTTGAAATGGTAAGAATTTGGGTATCTGGTTCCTTTTTCACTGTAAATACTTCCATTGGCACTAAGTGTATTCTCTAGCCCTGTAACTCCTTGTGGTGACAGGTCTGTATTATTGGAGTTCGTTGCTGTTTGAGGCCTCAGAGTTTGAGGGACTGTTTCTTTCCAAATGTTCCGAAGAGAACTGTGGTTTGTCTCACTTTTTGTAGAATGAAATCCTCGGAATGTGTATGTCACAGGATTGTCTTTGAATGCAGCTCTGCCCGGCAGCCAGTCATGATGGTTGAAAAACAAGAACATAGCAAAAAGAAACACTAGAGAGAGCACACCAATAAGATGGGTGCGGAACAGAGACCTCTTGGCATTCCAGCTCATTTTTGCAAAGCAGCAGTGTCTTCTCCTCCACTGAAGCATGTTGTAGATATCCAGTTATGGGATATGAGATATTGGTGATTGAAAATGTTGCTTTCTTCTAAATCAGTACTGTTCTTTGGTGATCATTTTCTAATTTAGTCACGTTGTCTCCCTTGCAGTCATTCTACAAAGATGAAGAATAAAGTTTACAAAATAATTAATTATTATGCAACTGCCTGAAAGAGAATTTGGGTGCTAATAAAATTGGGGAAAGTAGGAATTTTTATGCTGTGAAAATATAATAACCCAGAAACGAAGTTTATAATTTGTTTCTGTTGGCAACATAACATCACTGACAGCAGAATTAATTTCTTTTGAAATACACCTTTATAGGTCATTGAGCACTTTAAAGAGAGGTGATGGATTAATTTTCTTCCACTTATTCCAATGTTTCAGTAGCTCTGGTTATTTGTACTTTTGACCTAAGTTGAAGATTTAAAAATTGTTTGCTTGTAGAAAAGACAAGATGTTACTAGGTTCTTGAAAGAGGCCATATAAGAAGGCCCAAGAGCAGATGGAAAATTTATTGGCATTAATTAAAATTGATTTGACATACCATTGGTATTAATGGTGCACTGTCTGTCAGTGGCCTTTTTTGTAAAATGGTCATGTATCAGTTGTGGGACAGACGGTGCAAGGTTGATTATGGCAGAGTTCTGTTAGTCACAGTACACTGCTTGGCATGTTTCCATTGGCCCCTACTGTGTTGAGAAAGTCAGTGAGAAGATGCACCTGTCAAAATTAATTCTCAGGGTCCAGTAACTTCAGTGCAGGATTTTAAGAGTAATAAAAATGATGAACATTTTCAAGTACTCTTTTCTAATTTTAATCTTATACTTCAAATATGAGGTATTTAGGAGATCACTGTCCTTATTAGATTTAAGATTGATTTTATTATAGCAACTAATTATTTTTAGCCTTGGCAAGAGCACTGTCACATATCTTAGTTGAGTCTTTATGTTAGAATTAAAGAACTACTTTGAACAGTTTTTTCAGATTTCTCACAAAATAAAAAATTGAACAAAGAACCACTTTGAACAGTTTTTTCAGATTTCTCACAAAGTAAAAAATTAAACGAAGAACCACTTTGGACAATCTTTTCAGATTTCTTACAAGATATAGGCACTGTTTAGAAATTTAAATATCACAAAATGCATTTTGAAGATTCTTGAGTTATGCTGTGTTCTAAATTTCCATGTAGAAGATTTGTTAACATTTTAAGCCATGACTCTTAGAACCCTAGCTTTTTTAAGAGATTATAAAATGTCAGTCTGAGAGGTTCATGATGCCACATATGAAGAACTGGTTGTGTTATCTTAGAGGTTTTTCAGTGCATAGCACAAGTTTGTTCATGGCTGTCAATTTGTTGTTAATTTTTCTGGATCAAGGTGTGGGGTAGAGGTAGGTAAAGTAGCTTTAACTTGAATTCTATTAAAACAGAAAAAGTTGAGTAGGGGACTAATAACTGAAATTTCATTTCTTTGACTTCTGTTGTGAAAATTATTTCTTTAAGCAAAAGAAAACTAGTCAATTAAATGAGTGGAGCATCTGTTTATTTGGAATTACATATACATATACTTGTGTTCATTTAGCCTGTGATGTGGACAGATTCATGGTTAATACCAATATGCTCAACTTTGACATGAGATTTAATTATTTTGGGGAAATAATGGTTTTAACATGGAAGTCTGCACATAATTGAGTAATTACACAGTAAGCTTCACATATAGAATGAGAAGTAAATACTTTGAGAATACTGAATGTTCATTTGAATGAAAGTACTACTGTTCTAATAACAGCCGCTAGGAGGAGCAAGTAGGTGGGAATTTGAACAAATTTCTGAATTGTATAGTACAGGCACCAGCTTTCGATAATTTCTATTATCTGACATGATGTAGTACTTTTAAAAGTTACTGTATTTCTCACATGAAAAAAATTATCTAATCATTTATGAGATGTGAACTGTGACGTTTTTTAAGTTTGGGTTTAAATACATAGAATCTAGTTTGCTATTTATTGAAGTTTATTTACAGGAATTTTAATTTCACAGTACTATAATGAGGACCAAGACTATTCACTGTACCAGTAAAACCTGAGTTCTGCTGTGAGCAAACTGAAAATAATAGAGCTGAATGTTCTAATTTAGAAACTTAAATTTTTCCTTCCTGTCCTTATAAATAATTAGCCTTTTTGTTTAGATGAGGAAACTCTAAGCTTTTATTTTCAACCAAAATGTTTGACAAATAGTAATGATAATTCCTCCATCTGGTAAAAAAAGGAAATAGATACAAAAGTTGCTTTTTAAATTTGATAATCTATTTTAAAGATTCCAGAGCTGAATTAAATATATCAGCTTCCTGTTGATATAATAGTGCTTGGGATCTGGTTGAAGTCCAGACCTTTAGATCTTCTGTAAGTATAAATTTGATGGTTTAAGAAGCAATAATAAAAGGTCAGATGTTTGAATAAAGGACTGAAGAAATGAAGGTAAATATCATAGTAGTAAATTATGGTATTTTTAGGAAAACGATATACCTGAAGTGATGTCTCAGAAGTATTTTAGTGTTACAGAAAACAGCAAATTACTATATATTGTAATCTAGCATAAATAAGTAGTTTATAGTTCTATATAATTTTATACCAGTACGTGATGGAAATACATCTTAATTTAAGTTCATGGTATTTGTGTGTGTGTAAATATTTAGCTTCTCAGGCTTGAAATCCACATATACCTACTTGGTTAATCTCCCATTGATAAATGAAGTGTCACGTTTCTAGCCTTAAAAAATGCCTTATTAATAGTTTCTTAAGTATTACTTATAATTTTCCTGTTAAAAGAAAGTAAGATCAAAGTATTCCTCCTTTTATTAGATGTTAAAATAATTTTCCAGTTATTGCCTGTTGTATTTTAATTCTTAAGAAGTGGAACAAGATGAAGTTAAAATATTTTGACATTAAATAGTTTTACACTTTTACACTTTCAGCATAGAAAGAGCTTTGATTTTTTTCTTTACAGGTTTTTGATTATAGTATTTTCAAGTTACTCAGGTATATTTACATCTTATGGATTAAAGTTCATGGAGAGAATTTTACTGTGAAATGTTACTTCACACACACATACACATTTTTAACATTTGGCTTTCAAAAGCATTGATATCTTTAATCTGTTGGAACAGTCCTAGTTTTAAGTGGTGCTTGAATAAAAAATATTCTACACTTTTGTTTTGAGATAATCTAGCTTATAAAAATTTTGGTGCCTTTAACATTGAGAGATTAAGAGAGATGAGATTTTTTATGCCCATATTGTTTTCGTTTAATGCCATCTGAATTCATTCTTTAGTGGAATAAAAATTAATGGTATGAATGGGAGTTCATGTTAAGATGAAATAATAATAGGGCCTAATAAACTTGTTCAATCTTAATTTCAGAATGCAGTGCTCACATATGTCTTAAAACTGTTTGCCTTTTTGATTATTAAATACTGAATTTTTGAATTGCACTGTAAAATAGAGCAAATAGCAGCATCCTTGATAGATCTGTAAAAACAATTTTAAGGAATATATTTGAGTTCTTAAGCCATGATTTGCTATATCCTGTGATCGTTCCTAAAATAGTTTGTTAGATTTATTTCTGCCATGTACACATGTATCATGGCAGTAGTTCATCACTGCATAATAATATAGCCTGGAAGCACAGTAGCTACATTTAATTTAATTTTTTGACCTTGAATTGCTGTTAATGAGTATTTTAGTATCAAAGTATTTTCATACTATGTTTTTGAATTTCACTTTGAAAGGATGACCAAGAACAGCCTGATGTTTGATCATTTAGAATCAGTCTGTTGCTTAAAATAAAAGCTCGCTATTTCAAATGGGGGATTTTTAACAACCATAGATATTTCTTTGTTTAAAGTTGTGTTCATGGACAGTGTGATAACATGTGAGTGTACTGTGGTATTGTGCTGTGCTTAAACTCACACCGCCTTATGTGATTCTATGCAAATGCATTTATTTTAGCATCTTATAGCTTGGTAATACTTAAAATTTGTTGATACTCTCTTTGGTTGTGTTTGTTATCTTTATTTGGGGAGATGGATATTGAAGGGAAGATTTTGTTACTAAAAGCTGTTATATATTAAGGTTTTGTTTTAGAAGGATTTTGAAAAAAGCTCATATTAAGATAGTCTTTGATAGTACTTAATGTAATTTACTGCATTATTTCTTTTGATAGCCATTTCTAAAAGAGCACTTTAATTTACTAGGTAAAAATTCAGTTTGACCGAATTTGATAAAGGATTGCAGTTTTCTTTAGAGGGCTACAGATTTTTGTTTTTAAGTTTAATTTCTCACATAATCCTTTAAGCAGTCTTGTTACTATCTGCTTGCTCTGTCTTACACATCTCTAATCCATAATTACTCCAAGCTGACTTACTTGAATAAAGCAGTGACAGCTTGTCTTCTAAACAATGACAAATTTAAAGTCATGTATTTAGAAACCCTTTCTTAGTTTCAAGGACAGTGAACTGTATGAAGTTGTTTATCAGATGTTGGTGCCCATAGGGCTGTAAAAAGGTAAGACATTTAAATGAATATTACACACAAGATATCAACATACCTTCCTCGGTCAGGCCATTTATGTGGAGAGGATTATGCCCACTGAAAATACTTTTGGCACGCCATCACTTCAGCAAAAGAGATGCTATCGAACATGCGCACATCCCCCAATAGTCTGCCTCCTGCGATTGCTTTTCACAGTATCCAAAGTGTCCATCTGTCTGCTTATCTTCGGGTTACCCTCCTTGTTCATATGTGTCCTAGTCTTCAGAGGTTTTTCCTTTCATTTTCTTTCTCTTTCCTTAAACAAAAGAGCTGTAGTTGTCCGTTCTATTTGGAGCACTGTTGACTCTTCCCGACAGTTGATGCATTGAAGGTTTTTACATCTGCTGTTTTCCTGGCCGGACAATGCAGTGCTGTATTCTCTTCTCAGTATCCATATTTCTAGCAATAACACTGAGCTGCAATGTAAAGCAGCCAGAGCTGGAATGTAGTGCTTCGATTGTATTGGAAAAGAATAGGATTTAACTCTCTCTCGTTGTTGCCTGGCAGCTGCAGGAAGGATTTTGAGCAGTTTTACTGGGGTTTTAGTCTGTAATATGAAATCCACGGTTCTTCAGCTGCTGCACAGGCAGGCAGCAGTTTAAATGTGGGCTTGACAGATGCTCTCTCTGACAGAGCAGAATTTAACGTCATTGCCTGGCTGAATCCCACGTGATTGTTTGCATTCATTTTGACTAAAAACCTGAAGTAGGGAGAAGCTTAGAGATTTTTGCTTCTATGTGATAAATTACATGCATTCAGTACAAGTGTAGTGACGAGTGAATAATATGAAAATGGGAAGATTATGATATGGTTATTTTTTCCAGCTTATTTCCTTTTTTTTTTGTGCTTAAGCACAGGCTTTCTAAATATTTTCAGTGTTAGATGTTGGTTTTCCTGTCTCTTACATGATTTTTTTATAGGGCACAAGCAGTATAAGCTTTAATATGTAATTTAACCCCATCAAGTACACTCCTCCCTTGAAGTTTTTTTTCGCAAATTGCTCTAATTTTACTAATATCTAGATAAGATTCACAGACCATTTATCTTTTATTTCTTAGACACTTAGTAACTTAGACACTCTGTGTTTCCTGGGGCTTGTGTAAATCAGCTGCATGGATCGCTTTACTGTCACGTACGATAAAATACTTCGTTTTTGCTCGTATGTGGTTCCTTGTGTACTCAAAGGCAACAAAACATTTTCATAGTACTCTTTAATGTCAGCATTTATTTTTTATTATTTTTCCTTTTCTTTAAAATTACATGTATGATAGAATTCAACAAAGTGGCATAGTGGTATAGTAGGCATAATTTTTTTTGGTTTTTACTAATCATATTTAATAATATTTCAGGATCGTTCAGTAAATTGCCATCAAGCAGAATTTTCAGTAAACACTAGATACTTACTCTGAAATGTTTCTTTGATAGTCTCTTGGGCACCTTGCTGCTTTTTCCTCTACAGAGTACTGGAATATTGTCTTTGTCTGTCTTTTTTTTTTTTTCCTTCTTCCTTAAATAGCCTATGTTACCAGTTTTTCCTCTGAGACTTTAGGGACATTAACTCCTAGAAATTTGTAGTTTTGGAATTTAAGCTGTATGTTTGTCATCATATGCTCTCCATCCCACTTATCTTCCCCAGTAATGTCTATTATTTCAAATATTTACATTTCTCTTATATCTTTGAATTTTTTTTGTCCTCACTATATTTGTTATTGCAGCTGATAAAATGTGCTTTGAAGTTTTAGGGCTGTTTTTTAGGAGTATATGTGACTTTCCTAGAAATGCTAGAAGGAACATTAGGAATTTTATATATGGGAAACCTAAGCCTTAAAGAGCTTTGACTTTTCCTAATTAAGTATGAAGGAGAGAACTAAAACCCAGGTTTCTTGGCATTTAGTCCTTAGGTCCTACCCGTACTAAAAGCTCACTAACATTTTTTTTTTTTACATTAAACTTAGCAGTGTAATACTTTAGTAAAACTTCCTTAAAATAACAGTAATGCTTTAAGTAAAACCTACTTAAAATAATATTTTTTAACAAAAGTAGAAGTGGATTTTAGTAGATCAGTATGTATCACTAATTCCTTACATAGGATTTGACTATACAGCTAGCAGCAGTCACTACTTACTATTTACTCAAGGTGAGATTGCATGCTAAGCCTTCCTGAGCTCTTATGTAAATGACTTTTTCCCCCTCATAATAGTTTCATTATTGTAATACCCATTTTAAAGATGAGAAACCTGTACTTTGAGTTGTGAAATAATTATCACAAATATAAGCTAATGAGTGATGAGAAAGAGTCCAGCTGGGAATTAAAGCAAGATTATGTAAGTCCTTATGCTCTGTTCTTAACTACCGGGCCCTGCTGTAGAAATTGTGGGACTTTTTTTTTTTTTTTTAGTACTGGCACAGCATACCCAGAAATTATTCATAGAAGTATAAATGGATTTTTATATTTTCACTTGTTCAACAAATATATATTGTTCGACCACTATGTGCCAAAATTTGTAGTTAGCACAACTTATTAAATGTTAGGGATACAAAATGATTTAGACACATTCCCTACCCTTTCTCCAGGGAAGCTAAAACAATTATTTTGCTAGTTCTCTTGGATTCTTGTTGGATGCCCAACTGGATAGATTATGGATCTTGATTATTGAGAGCTCCATGGGTAACCTGCTGATTAGTGGTTCCCTCCAATATTGGATTGAGCCCTAGAATTCCCTGTTGTCTCAACTATGCTTGCTGTGGGGCAAGTGTTTATACAGCAGAAGAGGACTCCTGAAAACTAATAAAAAGAGGACTGTGTACTTAATCAGAATTTACTGTAAATTTTTAGATAACACCTGCAGTCTGTTTAAGAACTTTACATAAAAGTATGGAAAAATAGCCAGGCATGAGATAAAAGTTCTGTTAGTGACTTTTTCCAGGAATCTGCATGTTTCTGGCCGAGAGAAACTGTAAAAATCTTATGACAGGCAAGCTTGTAGAAGTTCTTACTTTAGTCTAGTTTCTTTTAACATCTGAATTCTGTGCTTGAACTTTCTCAATATGTGTAACAAGTTTCTTTGTTAGAGTCAGCAAACTGGCAGCTGTTTTGTTAAGTTTTGTAGTTAAAAATGTCTTGTAATTTTTACTTGAATACATGTACTTTTTAATCTTAGAACACATCCATGATGGGAAAATATGCTGTCATTGCTATGTGCATTTTGGCCAGAACTGTCGAGGCTGGTTTTAGCAATTTCCTGGGTGTGTCTACAAGTAGCCCTCAGTGAAGCAAAATATAGGTAGGATTTGCAGTGAATGCCACCTAACTTGTATTTTCTACTGGTTACCAAAGTACTTACTACTTTGTTCATGTAGTTAATAGTTTTTGAGTGAATACTACATGATGAATCAAGTATAGATTTGCTTACCATCTAATAGTGAAGATAAGTCATTTCATAGAGTTATAGTATCTATTTATTTATCTATATAAATTCAGCTGAATGTCCTTGGTAAAAAGAATGAGGAGAAAAGGGGTAGGGAGAGTACTTCAACCATAGAGTGTGATTTCTATTCACTGAGAATGAGCAAATATCCTTGAGAAATGTGAGAAGGGAGACAGGAATCTGGTTTTCCCTACATTCATATCCATACCTATTTGTGCTTTAGTATAATAGTTGGCCCCTAATTTATTTCAGATAATGCTCATCTGAAGAACTAGCTGGCTAGCTTTTCCTGTGTTAGAGAAAGAGTAATATTTTGGATCAGGTTTAATTTCCACCATAGTACTCTGAAAAAATGCCATTTGACACAGAAACCAATGTTAGTTTTATTGAGACAAAGCAGCAATTTTGCCTAGTAATGTTTGCTTGGAGTTTATATTTCTTGACTGTTTTGACTTAAAATCAGACGAAATCTTTATTCTGTAAAAGATTTGGATGAATGGCATATTTTTGGCTATTTAATATTAGTAAGCACTTTTCCCTTTTGAGGAAAAATCACTGCATTTATTAAGAATACTGCTTTGAAATGAGCAGATGATTTATGAACCAGTTTTACTCTCCTTTGAACTCAAAAGTAGGAATTAGGCTGATTGCAAATTAGCCATCTCAGAATGACCACGAGTGTCAGTGTTTGCCTGCCTATGTTTCTCTTTCGGATTTCCACTGACTTGTGCAGCAGATAATTCATATTATTTAAGAATTTGTTTAGACTTGAAAGCAGAGCTAAACTTAAGTGTCTCTTTCAGAACTAATTGTAAGTCCCTTTATCTGTATTAATTTATACAAACTATTAATGATCCTAAAGGGAAATGTAAAAACTTAACATAGGCCACATTTGGCAAATACTTGAATATTATGTTTGTATATTCTTTGGTTTTTCAGTAGCATAGCTATTTCAGTTTAGCGTAAATGACCTAGAATCTTTTTTTGGCAAACATAGGAGATAACTCTTGGTTAGAGCTCTTCTCACTGGGAGTGGTACTGGCAGCAATATTACTTTGTAAAAGGTGCTCTAGAAGTTTGCCAGGGTGCTTTGGGTTGACAAATAACTGAAGGGCATTTAGTAACTGAGGCAGGGGAAGATAGTCTATAGTGTGTGGGATAATCTTTGAATACAATAAAGACTAGTTGCATGTCTGTAGTACTTCTGAATGTCCCATTTGGATATCTGTGTGTGGGTGAAAGGCCTTCTTTGTAATTAAATGAACCTAAAACATAATTGGAATACAAAGCATAAACTGTAAGGTTTTAACATGCACTGAATTTTCCTAGGTGTTTAACTACAGTGTATTATACCATACTCAACTTTGTTCTGAACTTTGCCAGTAGCTTACTATTTTGAAAAACAATGTTGCCTGTGACAGTGATACTCAAAGTAATTGAATCACCAGTACAATATACCACTCTGCAGGCATTTCTAATTGTCACATTCACTGTGGTTTTGTATATGGGTACTAGCATCTGATTACTTCATTATGTCTCCTGAGGGTAATCAGGTTTAAGACCCACATATTGAAATACATATGGTTATCATGAATTTCTTTTAAGATTCTCCTTTATACTTGTTAGGACATTGATTTTCATTTTAAAAATTACATACATAGATTGTTTATATTGTGTGTTTCATTCCAGATTGTTAAAGGGTGAAATACTTCTTGCATAAAGTGGATATGTTGAGTTTGATATAGTTATGAAGGCCACTTAAGTCAGTACCTTTGAGTAAATTATCTCAGGCACCTTAACTTCCTATTCTGTGCTTCCCAACACATTCATAGTATTTAAAAAGTAATAAAACAATTTTTAAAGACATAATAGGTTGAAATTTAAAATTCCTCTGAAACTTAACAAAGTAGCATCATTACCCAAATTTAAATTATTAGTATCAGAAAATGCTTCTTATTTGATAGTTTTTATAAATAAAGAAAAGAAAAGGTAAGTAAGTAGAATTTTTCCCCAAAGGGTTTTTTTGGCAATGGCAGGGAACATTGAGTATATACTTGATTCTGTTATGAGATAGTAACTGTACTAGTGGAGGACTTAATAATTAATGAGTAACTATTGAATCACTAAGTTGTGTACTTGAAACCAATATAAGATTATATATCAACAATACTTCACTTAAAAAAAAAGAA